GGATATGTTGTGTATCTTTATACGTATATGCTTCTAAACTGTTGTATTCTGAGCACCTCTGCAAAAACAGTGATAATGTGTGAGTGTGGTGAAAGTGTTGAATGATGATGAAAGTATTTTCTTTTTTGGGATTTTCTTTCTTTTTGGGTCACCCTGCCTCGGTGGGAGACGGCCGACTTGCTAATATATATATATATATATATATATATATATATATATATATATATATATATATATATATATATATATATATATATATATATATATATATATATATATATATATATATATGGAATCCATTTGCAATTTTTTGTAAACAGAGTGTTGAAAAAATTTTGATTTTAGATACAATAGATTTTTATAGTGACTTAGAGAACTATATTATTGGTACTACTGGATGTGTTTACGGTGGCAGCGAGTTGTTTATTATCACATGTTGTCTGGCTGAGGATATAGTGTCCTCAGGTGTGGCTGAGGACACAGGCAGTGTCCTCAGGTGTGGCTGAGGACACAGGCAGTGTCCTCAGGTGTGGCTGAGGATACAGATAGTGTCCTCAGGTGTGGTTGAGGACACAGGCAGTGTCCTCAGGTGTGGTTGAGGACACAGGCAGTGTCCTCAGGTGTGGCTGAGGATACAGATAGTGTCCTCAGGTGTGGCTGAGGACACAGGCAGTGTCCTCATGTGTGGCTGAGGATACAGATAGTCTCCTCAGGTGTGGTTGAGGACACAGGCAGTGTCTTCAGGTGTGGCTGAGGATACAGATAGTGTCCTCAGGTGTGGTTGAGGACACAGGCAGTGTCCTCAGGTGTGGCTGAGGATACAGATAGTGTCCTCAGGTGTGGCTGAGGACACAGGCAGTGTCCTCAGGTGTGGTTGAGGACACAGGCAGTGTCCTCAGGTGTGGCTGAGGATACAGATAGTGTCCTCATGTGTGGTTGAGGAAACAGGCAGTGTCTTCAGGCGTTGCTGAGGGCACAGGCAGTGTCGTTATGTGTGGCTGAGGACACAGATAGTGTCCTCAGGTGTGACTGAGAACACAGGTAGTATCCTCAGGTGTGGCTGAAGACACAGGCAGTGTCTTCATACACACAACACTGAGTATACTGAGAAAGTTTCCTTCAAGGAAGGTGCCTTGATTTTCTGGTGATTGTCTCTTGATTCGAGAAAGTGGAGTTTCCCTTCCCTTCCTCGGATCAAACCTGATTGCTTCGGAGAACCTTTTTTGATGGAAGCCTTGTAACAGCATCAAGGAACCTCCCTTGAGGAGGAAAACCCTTTAATAACGTCAAGGACACAACATCGTCTCCATTCACTTCTTCGGGCACTAAATTCATTAGTCTTCTGAACATTGTTATTTTAATTTGCCTGAACACTAAGGGCTGAGGAAAGTAAACATCTGGAAACACTTTGTACCTCCGTAATACCTGACTGCCTCACATGATGGGCTTTTAGCTCATGATTGTGGTATCTAATCAGACAAATCAATCCGGAGTCGATTGCCCCCTTGACACTCACTGCTGTCAGCATGCTCTGTCATAACCTTCAGTTGTCAGTATATGTAACCTCCAGCTGTCAGTATGATACATTATAACCTCCAGTTGTCAGCATGATACATCATAACCTTCAGTTGTCAGCATGATGCACCATAACCTGCAGTTGTCAGCATGATACATCATAACCTTCAGTTGTCAGCATGATGCACCATAACCTCCAGTTGTCAGCATGATACATCATAACCTCCAGTTGCCAGCATGATACATCATAACGTCCAGTTGTCAGCATGATGCACCATAACGTCCAGTTGTCAGCATGATACATCATAACCTTCAGTTGTCAGCATGATACATCATAACCTCCAGTTGTCAGCATGATACATCATAACCTTCAGTTGTCAGCATGATGCACCATAACCTCCAGTTGTCAGCATGATACATCATAACCTTCAGTTGTCAGCATGATGCACCATAACGTCCAGTTGTCAGCATGATACATCATAACCTTCAGTTGTCAGCATGATGCACCATAACCTGCAGTTGTCAGCATGATACATCATAACCTTCAGTTGTCAGCATGATGCACCATAACCTCCAGTTGTCAGCATGATACATCATAACCTGCAGTTGTCAGCATGATACATCATAACCTTCAGTTGTCAGCATGATACATCATAACCTTCAGTTGTCAGCATGATACATCATAACCTGCAGTTGTCAGCATGATACATCATAACCTGCAGTTGTCAGCATGATACATCATAACCTCCAGTTGTCAGCATGATACATCATAACCTGCAGTTGTCAGCATGATACATCATAACCTCCAGTTGTCAGCATGATACATCATAACCTGCAGTTGTCAGCATGATGCACCATAACCTGCAGTTGTCAGCATGATACATCATAACCTTCAGTTGTCAGCATGATACATCATAACCTGCAGTTGTCAGCATGATACATCATAACCTGCAGTTGTCAGCATGATACATCATAACCTTCAGTTGTCAGCATGATACATCATAACCTGCAGTTGTCAGCATGATACATCATAACCTTCAGTTGTCAGCATGATACATCATAACCTGCAGTTGTCAGCATGATACATCATAACCTTCAGTTGTCAGCATGATACATCATAACCTGCAGTTGTCAGCATGATACATCATAACCTCCAGTTGTCAGCATGATACATCATAACCTTCAGTTGTCAGCATGATACATCATAACCTTCAGTTGTCAGCATGATACATCATAACCTGCAGTTGTCAGCATGATACATCATAACCTGCAGTTGTCAGCATGATACATCATAACCTTCAGTTGTCAGCATGATACATCATAACCTGCAGTTGTCAGCATGATGCATCATAACCTTCAGTTGTCAGCATGATACATCATAACCTTCAGTTGTCAGCATGATACATCATAACCTGCAGTTGTCAGCATGATACATCATAACCTGCAGTTGTCAGCATGATACATCATAACCTTCAGTTGTCAGCATGATACATCATAACCTGCAGTTGTCAGCATGATACATCATATCCTTCAGTTGTCAGCATGATACATCATAACCTTCAGTTGTCAGCATGATACATCATAACCTGCAGTTGTCAGCATGATACATCATAACCTTCAGTTGTCAGCATGATACATCATAACCTCCAGTTGTCAGCATGATACATCATAACCTTCAGTTGTCAGCATGATACATCATAACCTTCAGTTGTCAGCATGATGCATCATAACCTTCAGTTGTCAGCATGATACATCATAACCTGCAGTTGTCAGCATGATACATCATAACCTTCAGTTGTCAGCATGATACATCATAACCTGCAGTTGTCAGCATGATACATCATAACCTTCAGTTGTCAGCATGATACATCATAACCTTCAGTTGTCAGCATGATACATCATAACCTGCAGTTGTCAGCATGATACATCATAACCTTCAGTTATCAGCATGATACATCATAACCTGCAGTTGTCAGCATGATACATCATAACCTGCAGTTGTCAGCATGATACATCATAACCTTCAGTTGTCAGCATGATACATCATAACCTTCAGTTGTCAGCATGATACATCATAACCTGCAGTTGTCAACATGATACATCATAACCTGCAGTTGTCAGCATGATACATCATAACCTGCAGTTGTCAACATGATACATCATAACCTGCAGTTGTCAGCATGATACATCATAACCTGCAGTTGTCAGCATGATACATCATAACCTGCAGTTGTCAGCATGATACATCATAACCTGCAGTTGTCAGCATGATACATCATAACCTGCAGTTGTCAGCATGATACATCATAACCTGCAGTTGTCAGCATGATACATCATAACCTGCAGTTGTCAGCATGATACATCATAACCTGCAGTTGTCAGCATGATACATCATAACCTGCAGTTGTCAGCATGATACATCATAACCTGAAGTTGTCAGCATGATACATCATAACCTGCAATTGTCAGCATGATACATCATAACCTGCAATTGTCAGCATGATACATCATAACCTGCAGTTGTCAGCATGATACATTAACATGAATTTCACGTACTCGATATTAACTTTTCAATGGTCTTTTTAAACAGAAAAATCACTGAAAAAAAATAGCAATACAGAACTGGGGAATTATAATACGTACCGGTTGCTGGGGACACAGTTGTTGAGGACACGGTTGTTGGGGATACAGTTGTTGGGGACACGGTTGTTGGGGTGGATATGGTTGCTGTGGATATGGTTGCTGTGGTGGATACGACTGGTGTGGTGCAGACGGCGCTGCAGGAGCAGGAGGCTGTTGCCTGTAACCTGTTGAAGAGACGTTAGTTCATTACTACGCTATCTCACCATCCCTATTATTATATTCAGAGTTAAGCGTTAAACTCGCAAGGGTGATATATCAAACGGGTGATGGGTGGTAAAGAGGTTGGAACCAAGGAAGGAGAGAGTAGTGTCAGTTCCTTGAATTTTGTCTCTGAGGATCATAATTAATGTTGACTCACTCTCAGGAAGACGTCAGTTTTATGCTTCTATAAGATAAGATAAGATAAGATTTCGTTCGGATTTTTAACCCCGGAGGGTTAGCCACCCAGGATAACCCAAGAAAGTCAGTGCGTCATCGAGGACTGTCTAACTTATTTCCATTGGGGTCCTTAATCTTGTCCCCCAGGATGCGACCCACACCAGTCGACTAACACCCAGGTACCTATTTGCTGCTAGGTGAACAGGACAACAGGTGTAAGGAAACGTGTCGAAATGTTTCCACCCGCCGGGAATCGAACCCGGGCCCTCCGTGTGTGAAGCGGAAGCTTTAGCCACCAGACCACCGGGCCTGGATGTACAAGTATCTGTAGGATGTTCTTTAATGATGTCGATACACAAGGCTACTGGTATATTATAGCCTTCAACACACACACAAACCTTCTAGTATCTAATTCTTCAACAAACACAAAATGTTATTCGGTTGATGAGAGCCTCTGGTGTTAT